CTTAGACGTGATACCATCGAAAGAAGATACATAGTCCTCTCTACTAACACCATTGAAAAACGTCTCCAACATTCTTTCCAACAACGAATTCCAATTATTTACCACAGCGTGACCTACAATCTAACAACAGTAAGGGACACTAACAGCTTAAATCCTCTGCAAGAGTATACACAATATCTTGCAACGATTACAACCAAATATACTTGACCGAAACATGAAAAGTCCTACAAACATGTATTTATGAACACCAATAAGCCAGCATAACGGACGACTTAAAGAATATCTGTTTTACATCCACAGCCATTTAATAAATTAGTGACGGCTTTTACAACATATCTGATTATCTTGCCAGAGAATTTCTTCGTTATCCTACACAGTAATAGGTCATAATATAGAAGAACACTGAGGCAGGCCTACTGGACCATGGACGGCATGTCCAAATGAAATCCAACCTCTGATCAGCCATATTTCGTCCAACATGTCACTTGCCTACCCAAGAAGTCAACTTCATCATTCCTCACCTGACTCTTCACATCACTAGGTTCAGTATGTATGCACACATCCTCTAAACGAATGTCACTGTGACTTTATGAAACTCACTGAGCGGGCGAAACGTTGCCATTATGCAATCTCATACTTAGTCTATTTTTTTCCATCATGTAAATATTTCATACCATTCATCTCCACGGTTTTCCATAACAAAGTAACTCATACCTCATTACCAGGGTCACAAAATGGTTGGGATTCACGGTTTTGTAAATATATATAAAAGAAAAAATAACACTACATTTGTATTCAGTATATTGATGGATGTTTCTCATCTCACATATTATAACAAGTATTAATAACTAGGGACATGGTAAATTATTATTTTTAGTATTTTGAACAATCATATACGTTAATTTTTTTCCTCAGTTTCACTTTTTTAAAAGTATTATATCATATAATATTGTAAATTATGCATTTTACTTTGCGATTGTTTCTTTGTTCCTATGCCTAAAATTTTCTTATTTCTTCTAATAGTCTTGGACTAAAAAATCGCCTTGCAAAAACACTTTTAGGGGTTGAAAGAGAAGTGAACACTTATTTTTCTTCACGGTTACATATATATATATAATATATATATATATATATATATATATCATTAACCGTGTTTACACTACAGTTATATAACAACAACAAAAACACCCCTCCTTCAGAGTGCAGACACTGTACTTCCCATCTCCAGGACTCGAGCCCGGCCTGCCGGTATCCCTGAATCTCTTCATAAATGTTACCTTGCTCACAGTCCAACAGCACGTCAAGTCCTAAAAACCATTTGTCCCTATTTGCTCCTATCTAACACTCACGCATGCTTGCTGGAAGCCCAATCTCCTCACACACAAAACCACCTTTACCCCCTCCCTCCAACCTTTCCTAGCCCGACCCCTATCCTGCATTCCCTCCACTACAGATCTATACAATCTCGAAGTCATTCTTTTTCGTTCCATCCTCTCTGCATGTCCCAACCACCTCAAACCCTCCTCAGCCCTCTAGGTAATAGTTTTGGTAATCCCACACCTCCTCCTAATCTCCAAACTACGGATTCTCTGCATTTGATTCACACCACGCATTGCCCTCATACATGACATCTCCACTGCCTCCAGCCTTCTCCTTGTTGCAGCACTCACCACCCATGCTTCACACCCATAAATGAGCGTATGACTATACTCTCATACATTCCACTCTTTGCTTCCATGGATAAAGTTCTTTGTTTCTACAGACTAATCAGTGCACCACTCACCTTTTTCCCCAAGGCAATTCTGTTATTCACCTTATATTTCATAGACCCATCTGTTGACACGCCCACTCCCAAATTTCTGATAACATTCACCTCCCCCATATGCTCTCCCTTTAATCTGATATCCAAAATTACATTACCTAATTTTTTTTGTTACCATCATCACCATACTCTTTCCTATAGTCACTTTAAATTTCCTTCTTTTACATACTTTACCAATCTCATTCACCAACCTCTGCAATTTCACATCAGAATCTCTCAAAAGCACAGTGTCATCAGCAAAGAGCAACTGTGACAACTCTAACTTTGTGATAGATTCTTTATCTTTTAACCCCCACACCTCTTGTCAACACCCAGGCATTCACTTCTTTTACACCTCCATCAAAAACTATATTGAACAACCATGGTTACATCACACATCCTTGCGTGAGGCCTACTTTTACTGGGAAATATTCTCTTTCTCTCCTACATACTCTAACATGAGCCTCACAATCCTCATAAAAATTCTTTACTGCTTTCAATAATCTACCTCTTATTTTCAAACATTTGTAACATCTGCCACATTGCCTCCCTATCTATCTTATTATACGCTTGTTATAATAAGGTTAGGTAAGTTTTCTAAGGTTCTTTTGATAAAAAAATTATTAAATTTTACTTTAACATAAATGAAAAATATATATCTTTAAACGTATAAGAGAAAATTTAAGAAAAGACTTTATTTTAAATGAATTCTTGTTAATTCACACACAAACACGAGTATATATATATATATATATTATATATATTATAATATATATATTATATAATATCTATATATATATATATATAATAATTATATATGTTTATATATCTATACTATTATATAATATTTTATATATTATTCTATATCTACTATTATTATATATATATACTATTTTATATATATATAGTTATTATATTTTTAATTATTTATATAAATATAATTATAATAATTATTATATATATTTAATAAATATATATATATATATATTTTATATAATTATATATATATATAAATATTTTATAAAATATATTTTATATATATTCTATTTAATTAACACTAATACTATTTATATAATATTATATATATATTATATATATATATTTATATATATATATATATATTATATATATATATATATATATATTATATATATATATATATATATTATAATATATATATATATATATATATATATATATATATATATATATATATATATATGTGGTGTGTGTGTTGCAGATGTTGCTGGTGTATGGTGTAGGAGGTAGGTTACTGAAGGCAGTGAAGAGTTTTTACGAGGATAGTGAGGCTCAAGTTAGAGTATGTATGAAAGTGGGAGATTATTTCCCAGTAAAAGTAGGCCTTAGACAAGGAATGTGTGATGTCACCGTGGTTGCTTGATATATTTATAGATGGGGTAGTAAGAGAGGTAAATGCGAGGGTCTTAGCAAGAGGCGTTGAGTTAAATGATAAAGAATCACACATTAAGTGGGAGTTGTCACAGTTGCTCTTTGCTGATGACACTGTGCTCTTGGGAGATTCTAAAAAGAAGTTGCAGAGGTTGGTGGATGAATTTGTTAGGGTATGTAAAAGAAGAAAATTAAAAGTGAATACAGGAAAGAGTAAGGTTATGAGGATAAAAAGATTAGGTGATGAAAGATTGGATATCAGATTGGAGGGAGAGAGTATGGAGGAGGTGAATGTATTCAAATATTTGGGAGTGGACGTGTCAGCGGATGGGTCTATGAAAGATGAGGTGAATCATGGAATTGATGAGGGGAAAAGGGTGAGCGGTGCACCTAGGAGTCTGTGGAGACAAAGAACTTTGTCCTTGGAGGCAAAGACGGAAATGTATGAGAGTATAGTTTTACCAACGCTTTTATATGTGTGTGAAGCATGGGTGATGAATGTTGCAGCGAGGAGAAGGCTGGAGGCAGTGGAGATGTCATGTCTGAGGGCAATGTATGGTGTGTATATAATGCAGAGAATTTGTAGCTTGGAAGTCAGGAGGAGGTGCGGGATTGCCAAAACTGTTGTCCAGAATGCTGAGGAAGGGTTATTGAGGTGGTTCGGACATGTAGAGAGAATGGAGCGAAACAGAATGACTTAAAGAGTGCATCAGTCTGTAGTGAAACGAAGGCGGGGTAGGGATCGGCCTAGGAGGTTTTGTGTGCGAGGGGCTTGGACTTCCAGTGGGCATGCGTGAGCGTGTTTGATAGGAGTGAACAGAGACAAATGGTTTTTTATACTTGACGTGCTGTTGGAGAGTGAGCAAAGTAACATTTATGAAGGGATTCAGGCAGGCCGGACTTGAGTCCTGGAGATGGGAAGTACTGTGCCTGCACTTTGAGAGAGGGATGTTAATGTTGCAGTTTAAAAAACTGTAATGTAAAGCACCGTTCTGGCAAGACAGTGATGGAGTGAATGATGGTGAAAGTTTTTCTTTTTCGGGCCACCCTGCCTTGGTGGGAATCGGCCTGTGTGCTAATAAAAAATTATATGTTATATATATAAAATATATATATATATATATATATATATATATATATATATATATATATATATATATATAATTATATTATAAATATTATATATATTTAATATTATTTATATATAAATATATATTATTATTATATATATATAATATATTATATTGTGACGTGCTGAATATGTAAAACTGGGCAATTAGCAAGAACTCATTAAAATTAAGGCTTTCTAAAATTTTCTTAATAGTTTAAAGATATATTTTTTTATTAATGATATATAAAAATTTATAATTTTGCACCAAAGAACTTAGAAAACTTACCTAACTTATTATAACAACCGCAATTTATTTTACCCAAACAACTAAATATATTTCAGAGTTTATACAATAATTTAAAATTAACAATATATTATATATATATATATATATATATATAATATATATATATATATATATATATATTTAATAGCAAATATTAATATATATATAATAAAAATTATAAATATTGATATATCAATATATTTAAATATATTATATTACATATATATATATATATATATTATATTATATATATATTATATATATATAAATTAATATATTAGTGTCGGCCGAATAGGCAAACTGCGATTTGGCTTAAATTAGCAACGCTCATCTTGCCTATAGGACAAGTGAAAATTTGTGTATGCAATAATTTCGCCAAAATCATTCTGAACTTAACGAAAAAAAATATATTTCACTGTGTTTGTTTAGTATTAAATTATTGTAAACAAATCTAAAATACATTTAGTTGGGTTAGGCTAAAATAAATTGTTCTTGTTATAATAAGATTAGGTAAGTTTTCTAAGATTTCTTTGGTGTAAAATTAAATTTTTTTACATTAACATTAATAAAAAAAATATATCTTTAAACTTATAAAAGAAAATTTCAAAAAGGACTTAATTTTAAATGAGTTCTTGCTAATTGACCAGTTTTACATATTCGGCACGACATATATATATATATATATGTACAAACACACGTATTTGAAGACCTTCATCTTCTTAATTCTATTTGTCATCTTTTCCATCATCACTGTCTGTCTTATCTGTTGCGACTTCGACGATCTTTGCAACACCAGCACCGACGGCAGCACCAGTGCCAGCTAGAGTAGCTGTTGCCGCAGCTCCAATCCCGGCAGCACCAGCAGACTGCAACACTGCTACCTGTCACAAACAAACGTACAATGATCCAGAGAGTGATAAGTGAGAAACACGTACAGCATTTTATTACCTTTATTGATAAAAGCTTTCACCTACGCGTTTGGCTTCTTCAATCAAATACAAAGATGATTAAATAGAAGACAACAGTAACAGTAGCGAGGTTAAGATAATATAATTAGTCTATCAACAATGGAGAAACTATTTTTGTTGTCGACAGTGCCTACGATTGATGGACTGATTAAGAACATAAAAGCATAAGAAAGAAGGAACACTGCAGCAGGCCTACTGACCTATCTGAGGCAGGTCTAAGTCATCTACCGGCTTAAGCCACTGGCCCAAGCTAGTCAGGTCAAAGTCACATCAGCCCACTCCAATTCGTGTATTTATCTAACCTATTTTTAAAACTACACAACGTTTTAGCTTCAATGACGGTATTCTGGAGTTCCACTCTTCCACAACTCTATTAACAAACCAGTGCTTTCTTATAACCTTCCTGAATCTAAATTTTTCCAACTTGAAACCATTGCTGCGAGTCCTGTCTTGGCTTGATACTTTTAGGACGTAATTTACATTCCTTTTGTATATTCATGTTATATATTTATGCACCTCAATCATATTTCCCCTAATTCTACGCCTTTCTAAACAGTGCAGATTCAGGGCCCTCATAGGGAATATATCTGATACATGTGATCAACTTCTTTACCCTCTTTGTACGTTTTCCAGTGCATTTATATCCATTCTGTAATAAGATGACAAGAACTGTACAGCATTATCTAAATGAGGCCAGTCCAAGGAAATATAAAGTTGAAGAACAACCTAAGGACTCCTATTATTTATGCTTCTTGATATGAAGCCAAAGATTATGTTTGCTTTATTGTGAACACTTAATCACTGTGGCCTGGTCACAGACCGGGCCGCGGAGGCGATGACCCCCGGAACTCTCTCTAGGTATACTGTTGTCTTGGTTTTAGATTACTGCTAACCAGAACACCTAAAACTTTTTCGCAATCAGTAATATTAAGATCTACATTATTTAATTTATATGTGGCAAGGCTGTTATCTTATCCAACGTTCAGAACCTTGTATTTGTCTATATTATTAAACTGCATGTGCCACTTCGCCGATCACTCACTGCATCAGTCTGTTCAAATCTACGTAGAGTAAGAGTGAATTAGACAGCCTATTTTGGTGTTATCGGCAGACTAGCTTGTCGCTATTTATTCCCTCATCTATGTCGTTTATGTAAATTAAGAACAACAAAGGTCCCAATACTGACCCCTGTGGAACACTGCTTGTGACGTGCTCTCACTCTGTTTTCTTCCCATTTATGCAAACTCTCCGCTGCATACTTGTCAACCAAGCCTTCAAGGAAAAAATTTATCATATTTCGTGTAACTTAATTTTCCTCAATAGCCTCTGACGTGAACTTTATCAAAAGCTTTACTGAAGTCCATATCCACAATATCATATTCATTACCATGATCTACCTCCTCCAATACCTTAGTGATAAAGGAAAATTCGTAAGACAGGAACGCCCCTTTGTAAAACCATGCTGAGATTCATTAATCAATTTGTCTTTCAAGATGTCTTCGAATTGCCTCGGCAATTATTATACCTGGAGATGATTTCGGGGTTCAACGCCCCGCGGTCCAGTCTGAGACCAAGCCTTGTGGTGGATCAAGGTATGAGCAACCAGGGCGTTACTGCTGGCTGCACGCAAACTGACGTACGAAGCACAGCCCAATTCCATAAATTTCCCCACCATGGAGATAAAGCTTATTGGTCTATAATTCGAAGCTATGGACCTGTCTCGTACTTTGTAGATAGGTATCACATTTGACATTTTCCGCTTGTCTTGCACTATGCCAGTTTGTTGTGATATGTTGAAAATATTAGCCGAAGGTTTGCTAAATTCCTCTTTACATTCCTTTAAAACAGTTGCAAAACAGTTCATCAGGGCATGGGGATTTGTTAGTTTTCAATTTCTCTATTTGTCTGAGGACCATGTCGACTTGTTACCCTAATTGTGAGTAGTTTATTATCGTCTTGTTCTACATAATTAATTTCTGGAATGCTGCTGGTATCTTCCTGCATAAAAACTGAGAGGAAGTGTTTAAAATTTTACACATTTCCTTAACACTGTTTGGGTTAGTCTTCGAATCCCTTGTGACTTTTGCCTTTTAATCTCTCTCTGCTTTTCTTACTCCTTTTTTCATGTCTGTCTTTAACTGAATACACTGACTTCTTAAATGCCTCTCCCCTCTTTTGATATGCCTATATATGCTTCTCTTTTGACCAGTGAGATGTTTTAACCTATTGTTTATTCATTTGGTATTTTTGTTTGATCAAATTTCCCTGCTCGGAACATAAGTTGTCTGGACAACTAGAACTATGCTCTGAAAAAGTCATACTGGCAAACAACACTACCTACCTGACCCATAGTCAGGTCATTCCAATTCAGCCCACCCAGGTAATTCTCAGTCCCATGAAATCGGCCAAGCAGAAGTCTTGGAGAGAAAGTTGATTGTAGTTTTTGGGGTAATTCCATAATATTTTGAAACAAAGTGACTTGTAATAGCTCATTATTAACCTTAAGTTTATTAATTAGTGATTCTTTGTTGGCAAGAACCAAGTCAAGAGGTTATTTCCTTTAATTCATTCTGTCACAAACTGTTTTAAAAAACAATGCTGTATAGCATCAAGAAAGTCACTAGACTCAATATTTCCTATCACATTATTCCAGTCAATTTGTCTAAAGTTAAAATCTCCCATTAATACAACATTTTCATCTAGATGCCTTATGAATTCCGTCCATAGCAGCTTACTGTGTTCTCTATCACTGTTTCGGGGCCTATAAATCACAACCAAAATTAATATTTCGCGACCCTCGAGAAACTGTAGCCAGTCAAATTCTGTGTCCGATATTTCTATTCTTATATCTTGCCTAACACAATTTAATTTATCTCTGACATATATTGCCACTCCAGCACCCTTCCTGTTGACTCTATCAGTGTGTGTTTTTATAGCCTTGTATGTGACATTCAGAAACATTTCTCTATCAGGCTGAACTAGATCTCCGTTACAGCAATAATATCTATATTACCTGTACATGCAACTAATCTTAGTTCATCTATCTCATTTCTTAGATTCCTACTATTGGTATAGTAAACCTTAAGGTAACCAGTCTCTATCTGCCCTCTAATGTCTCTTTCTTTTCTGATCGATTGCTTTGCCTTTACTAGCCTCTTCATTTTGAATATTGTCGTTTAAACATATCCCTGAGATATTCTGGTAATATCTGCTGTTTTCAACCTTAGTACTGCAACCTTACTATTTCCCGCACACACACATACCTCTATAATCTATCAGTCTAAAATCTAAGGCAAGTCAGCAATAGCCGCCTCAGTTGGCTTGGTTAATGCAACTACTCCAGCCCCAGTGAGATGTACCCCATCCCTTGCATACATATCACGTTTGCCATAGGGTTTGTCCCAGTTATTAATGAATGGGGCTGCGAATTCCTTGCAACACCTGTCCAGCCAGTAATTTATACAAATTGCCTTAGACAACCATTCCCACTCCTCTTATAGGCAAGATGCTATATATGACTGGGACCCCTCCCTTAGACCTAATTGTATCTATGGCTGACTTGTACTTATCCAGCAACTCCTGCCTCCTGGCCTTCCCTATGTCGTTTCCATCACTAAGATAATGGGATTGTTCCTGTTAACTATGTCATTAACATCAACTCATGGGAAACACACTCTCCCACCTTCCCATCTCTGTTACAGAAAGCACGGTCCATATATCTTAACTCTGAATCGCCAACTACAAGGATGCCCTTACCTTTGTTAGCAAGGGAGCTATTGGTACCTTAAACCTCGATAACTACTGACGTACACTCGTCCTGGTGAACAGAAAATAGATTTCCTACCTTCAAATCGATTCTATTAACCTTCTTTATCTTGATGCTTCTTTTTGAAGTATGAATCATTTTCCACTCTCCAACTCACTGCTGGTAACTTTATCCCCCTTACCAGCTCCAACAATCTCACTCGCTCCCAAACCCATCTATGCGAATTTTCTGCCTTCTATTTTCCTCCTGTAGAAGTAGAACCAACTCCTTAACACTTTAACCTGAGATTCTAAAACACTACAGGAGCAAGCCATGGTGATCAGTATCAACTCATGCTAATCCCCCAGACAGCTTTGAACAGAATGGCCTCTCGTGGCCACTGACCTCATCTTTACCTCATCACTATTGCTGCCTACTGTTTACACGCCTCTTCATTTCACTTGAGCCTGCGGCTTAGGAGAAACGTTTCAACAATAAAAATACCCATCTGTTGCACATGTCTTATCAGTATGCAATACGTATATCACGTTTCCTGCACACATCCTGAGTGAACAAACGAATGCATGTGAATTGCGTTATATTGCGTATAATGCAATAGCACTTTTTATTAACTCCACATATCATAATATAGCACAATAACCACACACACACTATTCACTCACCAAACTGCCAGCAGCAACTGCTCCTCCATTAGCTATAGCAGCAGAAGACATCATACTTGCAGCCAAGGATCCAGCGGCGATGCCCGCTGAGGTAAATCCCGCAGCTGTGTGATGAATGGTTTAAATCAATTAGCAAAAATATTTGAGACGTTTAATAGCTAAATTTAAGGTTAATCAGATTAGTTGTGATATGGAATACTGTGACCCATATGTAGTATATCTCCTTACATCTAAGAACTATCAAAATGGAATACAATACCGACAGGTTGCAGGTAAGACACATAGGCACCAGTTAGGCAACTTTATTCCGAAACGTTTCGCCTATACAGTAGGCTTCTTCAGTCGAATACAGAAAGTAGGCAGGAACAGTAGAGATGTGAAGACGATGTAATCAGTCCATCACCCTTGAAGTCGTAGAATTTGAGGTTGTCAGTCCCTCAGCCTGGAGACGTTCAGTTCCATAGTCAGGAACTATCAGATAGTTCCTGATTTATTAACTCCACATAAATAGCACAATACCAACACCAATTCACTCACTCAATGCCAGCAGCAACTGCTTACCTTACTATAGCACAAAGTACATCATACTTGCAGCCAACCAGTTCAGTTCCATAGTCAGGAACTATCAGATAGTTCCTGACTATGGAACTGAACTTCTCCAGGCTGAGGGACTGACAACCTCAAATTCTACGACTTAAAGGGTGATGGACTGATTACATCGTCTTGACATCTCTTCTGTTCCTGCCTACTTTCTGTATTCGACTGAAGAAGCCTACTGTGTAGGCGAAACGTTTCGGAATAAAGTTGCCTAACTGTTGCCTATGTGTCTTACCTGCCATCTAAGAACTACATAGGAATTTTTTTTTAATTTAATGCATTTGTAGAAGTTTTAATTCCGATTTAATCACCAAGAACGTACAGTGTCCCAAACTGTATTTACCTTCTTTTTGATAAACTTGAGCTATGTTCTTAAACATTTCATTTATATTTGTTGAAGATTTCATGGCCATTAGTTTTCTCTAGTCCACAAGTCCTCAAGAGAGGTTCCTATATGACGATGAAGGATTCTTGATTCTAGGAATGGGACCTGATGTCCCTTTTCTTACATCGAACCTGTATTACCACTACTGGTTGAGTGCTCACTCGTGGAAATATTAATATTTGTTAATGTTGCTCATATTTTTTCATATTATGAAAATTTCGATGTAGTCTGCATTTCTACACTAATCATACGTCGTGAGTGTAAACAACTAATCTCCATTCTTTTGAATTTTGTGTATATTATTCACCACACCCATCGCACTCAAATACGGCATCTCCACTACCTGGAACCTCCTCTCTGCTACAACATTTAAAACCTGTGTTCCTTGCTATTATAATAGTGTTGACTCCACTATATTCAGGAACATAACCCTTTTTGTCTCCATGGATAAATAACAAAAAAGGCACTATACCCGCACACAGAAGAGAGGAGCTTACGACGTTTCGGTTCGACTTGGACCATTTACAAAGTCACACTAACAAAAAGGAGAGAAGGATGGAGTACATATAGGCCAGCAGACACTGACGTGAGCAAGAGAGGTAGTGGAAGTAATAGTAGTGGTTGTGGAGTCAGTTAAATACTAAGAAAGAGGAGCACTGCAAGTGAGCTAGAGGCCCACAGACGGTAAGAGCAAGAACACGGAGGGGGGGGGAATAATAATAAAGGACAAATTCCCAAGGCAAAAGGACAACCCAAAGGAGAAAGAGGAAAGGGGAAGAGTGTGAAGGGAAAAAAAAATCAGATTAAGTCAGGGTGTTCTGAAGTTTGGAGAATTTTACATAGTAATGGGAAAGGAAGGTATCTATAAAGCCATACATGGATAAAATCCTGTTTCCACAGGTAACCCATTTTCAATTAGTATTTTGTGTAGCGGTCATTTTCTACAGAACAGTTCTCTTCTAAGTGTATAATTTTAGGGCATTATTTACAATGGTTTTTATGGTGTTAGCTTCACTCTTTGCTGATAACATCGTGTTTATTCAAAAAGATAGCTTTGGAAAGATATGCATAGATCATTGATTACAAAAAAAATAGCAGAGGACCTAGAATGCTACTCTGAGCAAAACTAATTTTGTTAGAGGAACTGATGAAGTCTTCACAGTTATGGATGAATTTTTGTGCCTGAAGCAGTTTAACTAGTTATATTAATATGAACGACTTCCAACTCCCTTAGTAAAGAACTAAAAGAGATGAATACTGAAGTCAGTCGACGATTAAAGAAAGTAAACAAACTATGCAATTAGATATTTGCTCTTAATGACTGCTGTGTATATTAACTTGAATTTTATTTGGGTAACTTTTGTGTATTATTTGCGTCCTCAACTATACCGGGCAAAATAAGTGTTTGGTGAGCTGAGTTAGCCTAAGAAAGTTTGCAGACAGAACCAAGTGAACCGCAGGCAGTACATGTTTAGCTAATTAGTTGCATTTCATATATTCATATATAGAAGAAATCTATATCTTGAATAGCACACAAGCAAAATTTTATGTACAGAGAGAGTAACATCATCCATTTACGAAAGATATGCAAAGTGAGTAAGTAAAACCTTGAGATTCTCAACAAGTAAGATATAAAACAGAATGCATTACTCACGCGCATAGAGGAAATTAAAACTCGCCTGTCAAAACAACCGGAGCTGCAACAACCATTCCTACAGCACCAACAGTAGCGGCCGCGCCATAACCCACGACCTTCCAAAACGTATTACCTTCTTTTTTATTAGGAGGATCTGATGGAGGTGTCGGAGCTGATGGTGGTGTCGGAGCTGATGGAGGTGTCTTCTGTCTGTTGCTGGTTACTACGTCAACTAGCTCTTCAGAATCCTGTTAGAAACAAAAGATATGCCATTACCAGAATGAAACTCATTAACAGTCCAGTTCACTTACCACACAAGGCTTATTACTGCGTCACTAGACGATGAACAAAAATGTGTGTTCTGTTACATAGTCCATTGAGGAGTTGCCAAAATTAAGTCAAATACTTGTACTAGAGTCATAAAATACTGTCAGTGTATCTTAATATGTAACATTCACTTTTTGCTGCACTATCCAAAACAACAGAAATCCTTCCCTTCTGTGTTATTCATTTTCTTAAGTTGTATTCTCCACAATTAGCTTAGAGGCACCCAAACCACCGTATATATATATATATATATATATATATATAATATATATATATATATATATATATATATATATATATTATATATATATGGCTCTTGTTCTTCTTTATTTCTTCTATTGTCCATGGGGAAGTGGAAAAGAATCTTTCCTCCGTAAGCCATGCGTGTCGTATGAGGCGACTAAAATGCCGGGAGCAATGAGCTAGTAACCCCTTCTCCTGTAGACATTTACTAAAAAAGAGAAGAAGAAAAACTTTATAAAACTGGGATGCTTGAATGTGCGTGGATGTAGTGCGGATGACAAGAAACAGATGATTGCTGATGTTATGAATGAAAAGAAGTTGGATGTCCTGGCCCTAAGCGAAACAAAGCTGAAGGGGGTAGGGGAGTTTCGGTGGGGGAAAATAAATGGGATTAAATCTGAAGTGTCTGAGAGAGTTAGAGCAAAGGAAGGGGTAGCAGTAATGTTGAAGGATCAGTTATGGAAGGAGAAAAGAGAATATGAATGTGTTAATTCAAGAATTATGTGGGTTAAAGTAAAGGTTGGATGCGAGAAGTGGGTCATAATAAGCGTGTATGCACCTGGAGAAGAGAGGAATGCAGAGAGAGAGAGATTTTGGGAGATGTTAAGTGAATGTATAGGAGCCTTTGAACCACGTGAGAGAGTAATTGTGGTAGGGGACCTGAATGCTAAAGTAGGAGAAACTTTTAGAGAGGGTGTGGTAGGTAAGTTTGGGGTGCCAGGTGTAAATGATAATGGGAGCCCTTTGATTGAACTTTGTATAGAAAGGGGTTTAGTTATAGGTAATACATATTTTAAGAAAAAGAGGATAAATAAGTATACAAGATATGATGTAGGGCGAAATGACAGTAATTTGTTGGATTATGTATTGGTAGATAAAAGACTGTTGAGTAGACTTCAGGATTTACATGTTTATAGAAGGGCCACAGATATATCAGATCACCTTCTAGTTGTAGCTACACTGAGGGTAAAAGGTAGATGGGATACAAGGAGAATAGAAGCATCAGGGAAGAGAGAGGTGAAGATTTATAAACTAAAAGAGGAGGCAGTTAGAGTAAGATATAAACAGCTATTGGATGATAGATGGGCTAATGAGAGCATAGGTAATGGGGTCGAAGAGGTATGGAGTAGGTTTAAAGATGTAGTGTTAGAGGGTTCAGCAGAAGTTTGTGGTTACAGGAAAGTGGGTGCGGGATGGAAGAGGAGCGATTGGTGGAATGATGATGTAAAGAGAGTAGTAAGGGAGAAAAAGTTAGCATATGAGAAGTTTTTACAAAGTAGAAGTGATGCAAGGAGGGAAGAGTATGTGGAGAAAAAGAGAGAGGGTAAGAGAGTGGTGAAGCAATGTAAAAAGAGACCAAATGAGAGACTGGGTGAGATGTTATCAACAAATTATGTTGAAAATAAGAAAAAGTTTTGGAGTGAGATTAACAAGTTAAGGAAGCCTAGAGAACAAATGCATTTGTCAGTTAAAAATAGGAGAGTTATTAAATGGAGAGTTAGAGGTATTGGGAAGATGGAGGGAATATTTTGAGGAATTGTTAAATGTTGATGAAGATAGGGAAGCTGTGATTTCGTGTATAGGGCAAGGAGAAATAACATCTTGTAGGAGTGAGGAAGAGCCAGTTGTGAGTGTGGGGGAAGTTCGTTAGGCAGTAGGTAAAATGAAAGGGGGTAAGGCAGCCGAGATTGATGGGATAAAGATAGAAATGTTAAAAGCAGGTGGGGATATAGTTTTGGAGTGGTTGGTGCAGTTATTTAATAAATGTATGGAAGAGGTAAGGTACCTAGAGATTGGCAGAGAGCATGCATAGTTTCCTTTGTATAAAGGCAAAGGGGACAAAAGAGAGTGCAAAAATTGTAGGGGATAAGTCTGTTGAGTATACCTGGAAAAGTGTACGGTAGAGTTATTATTGAAAGAATTAAGAGTAAGACGGAGAATAGGATAGCAGATGAACAAGGAGGCTTTAGGAAAGGTAGGGGGTGTGTGGACCAGGTGTTTACAGTGAAACATATAAGTGAACAGTATTTAGATAAGGCTAAAGAAGTCTTTGTGGCATTTATGGATTTGGAAAAGGCGTATGACAGGGTGGATAGGGGGGCAATGTGGCAGATGTTGCAGGTGTATGGTGTAGGAGGTAGGTTACTGAAAGCAGTGAAGAGTTTTTGCGAGGATAGTGAGGCTCAAGTTAGAGTATGTAGGAAAGAGTGAAATTATTTCCCAGCAAAAGTAGGCCTTAGACAAGGATGCATGATGCCACCATGGTTGTTTAATATATTTATAGATGGGGTTGTAAGAGAAGTAAATGCGAGGGTCTTGGTAAGAGGCGTGGAGTTAAAAGATAAAGAATCACACATAAAGTGGGAGTTGTCACAGTTGCTCTTTGCTGATGACACCGTGCTCTTGGGAGATTCTGAAGAGAAGTTGCAGAGAATGGTGGATGAATTTGGTAGGGTGTGCAAAAGAAGAAAATTAAAAGAATTCTGTTCCACTTCCATGGGGAAGTGGAGCAGAATTCTTCCTCCGTAAGCCATGCGTGTTATAAGAGGCGACTAAAATGCCAGGAGCAAGGGGCTAGTAACCCCTTCTCCTGTATATTTACTAAATATAAAAGGAGAAACTTTCGTTTTTCCCTTTGGGCCACTCCGCCTCGGTGGGATACGGCCGATGTGTTGAAAGAAAGAAAGATTATATAATATATATATATATTATATATATATATTATAATATATATATAATATTTATATATATAATATATATATATATGCAAAACAACCACTCTGAAAGAATAGAGAAATTCCAAGCGCTTTCGTGACTACTCACATTATCAAGGAACTATGAAATGAAGCATCCAAGGAAGCTATATAAGGGGTGGGCCAGCACCTCACTATCAGTCCCACAACGGTTAAAACACGTGACGCGCGGCGAGCCAACTTGATAGGTCCTTTGCAAAACTCACTCACCCCTAAGCTATTTATTTGTCCAGTGTATTATTAAATTCTTCCCAAATTCTATAATAATACACTGGACAAATAAATAGCTTGGGGGTGAGTTTTGCAAAGGACCTATCCAAGTTGGCTCCCCGCGCGTCACTGTTTAACCCGTTGTGGGATCTGATAGTGATGGTGCTGGCCGACCCTTTATATAGCTTCCTTGGATGCTTCACTTTCATAGTTCCTTGATAATGTGAGTAGTCACGAAAGCGCTTGGAATTTCTCTATTCTTTCAGAGTGGTTGTTTTGCATATTTTGAAATCACCTGTTTACTGTGATCTTAGATATATATAATATATTATATATATATATATATATATTATTATATATATATATATATATATATTATATATTATATGCCCGTGCGAATATGTAAAACTGGTCAATTAGCAAGAACTCATTTAAAATTAAGTCCTTTCTGAAATTTTCTCTTATACGTTTAAAGATATACTTTTTTCAGTAATGTTAATGTAAAAAATTTTAATTTTGCACCAAAAGAATCTTAGAAATCTTACCTAACCTTATTATAACAAGAACAATTTATTTTAGCCTAACCCAACTAAATATATTTTAAATACGTTTACAATAATTTAGTACTAAACAAACACAATCATATATATATTTTTCGTTAGGTTCAGAATGGTTTTGGCGAAATTATTGCATATACAAATTTTCACTTGTCCTATATGGCAAGATGAGCGTTGCTATTTAAGCCAAGATCGCAAGTTCTGCCTATTCGGCACGACATATATATATATATATATATATATATATATATATATAATATATATATATATTTATATATTATATATATATATATATATATATATATATGCAATAAATCACAGTAAACAGTGATTTCAAAATATGCAAAACAACCACTCTGAAAGAATAGAGAAATTCCAAGCGCTTTCGTGACTACTCACGAATGTGAGTAGTAATGTGAGTATCACGAAAGCGCTTGGAATTTCTCTTTTCTTTCAGAGTGTTTGTTTTGCATATAAAATTTTTAATATATATATTATATATATATATAAATATATATATATAAAATATATATATATATATTATATATTACAAACACTGATCTCTGGCTAAAAGGGGAGACTCGTACCTACGAACCTTAGGACAATGTACGCATGCTTTACCAATCTACCCACACTAAAACAATACCTTGGCGTGTAGCATGTGCTACACGTTTGATCCAAGGCAGCCAGCTTTCAGGGAGAAGGATTACAGCTTTTCATCTCATCCCCTGCATGCATCAGCCTTACTAGAGATTTTAACAATGCTAGGAATTCGCGAGAGCAGGCGAAATATACACAAACACTGATCTCTGGCTGAAGGAAACTCGAACCTACGAACCTTAGGACAAGGTACGCAGTGCTTTACCAATCTACTCACACTTGACAATACCTTGGCGTGTAGCATGTGCTACACGTTTGATCCAAGGCAGCCAGCTTTCAGGGGATGAGATGAAAAGCTGTAATCCTTCTCCCTGAAAGCTGGCTGCCTTGGATCAAACTGTAGCACATGCTACACGCCAAGGTATTGCCCCAGTGTGGGTAGATTGGTAAAGCACTGCGTACCTTGCTAAGGTTCGTAGGTTCGAGTCTCCTTCAGCCAGAGATCAGTGTTTGTTTATATATTAATATATATATATATATATTTTATATATATATATA